CTCTCTCTCTCTCTCTCTCTCTCTCTCTCTCTCTCTCTCTCTCTCTCTCTCTCTCTCTCTCTCTCTCTCTCTCTCTCTCTCTCTCTCTCTACCGTCCCTACATGTCATCGGTGACGAGCATTGAGAAGCAAGACATCAAAACCACGGCCGCATGCCACTAGCCCACAGAGCCAAATGCAACAGCAAACTGCAACTTCATGCCTGAAGTTCAAGCAAGAAGTCTCGTTAGCTATCTTCACAAGAACAATGCCCCTGTCTTCATTGGTCCAACAAATCATTTCCCGCATGCGGCCGTCACACACATTCTGTCGATATAACAAATTGTTTGTCGCATGCCGGCATCACACACATTCTATCGACACTTGCCTAACACGGTAATGGAGACCAGCATCACCAAAGCCCTCCGGATATTCGTACTTGGTTTTTAAGTGCTTGCTCTGAACCAGTGAAAATTGTATAAGCAATGTTCGATCAGCAGGAAACCACAAAACAGTACGGCGGCTCGCCCTAGCAAGCAGTTTCGGAGTTGGAGAACAGTGACAAAGAGGAAGAAAAGAACTATGAGAAACGTGGTTCCTTCCTCATGTATACACAGGGACACTAGACCCCATTTCCAGGTGCTGCTCCCCACCAATAGATCAGAACCATCACAACCTCTGGCACCGTTACTCAGGAAGGATGCTCTTTATCACCTTCCTCGATAGGATGGCAACTGATGCTCAACTCGCATGAATGTGTTTGCCATGGGCTGCCAGGGTATTTCAACATGACTGATTGCTTTTTTCTTCAGATCATCACTCAACTTTTTTAGCGAGTGATTCTATGACCTAGCGTAGTATATATAATCATTATAATGTCAATGCAAAGGAAAATGAGTGACGTCCTTCGGGACATCCGTTAAAATTGGAATGATACAGAGAAGATTAGGCCCCTGCGCAAGGATGACACACATTAATCGAGAAATGGTCCAAATTAACCAAAAAAAAAGAAAGGAAAAAGAAAAAAGAAAAGGAATACGAGTGATAACGAATGACAGAAAACCAAACTGCATCATCACATTGAAAGCCAGATAGTCGCGTGTCGGACAGAAAGCAGAATGCACCAAGTTACACACCAAATAAGAGCAAAGCAATGAACCCAATTGTTAATGTCAGCCCCCATCTCGCCTCCACCAACAATGTATCCAATGTCGCTCTTCGGCATGGCGCCTGGCACCCAATCTACTATCCTACAGCACCTATCCTAGCCTACACTAAGAGATGCAACCGGAAGCGCTTCAGCAGCAGACCAATGCAGATGATGATGTCGCCCATGCAGACCTCCACAAAGCACCAGGTACCTCCCTTCACTCTCCCTGACTCATCCCTCATCTGTCTCTCCACAGGCTCTCCTTCACTGCCCAGGACCACCACTATCTCCACCGGCAACCTGCATGTGCAGCTTGACCATGGCCGCCGTGCATGCAACACCCAGCTGCTATCCCACCAGCGCCCGTGCACGCGTCGCTTCCCAGCCAGCACCCTGCTTCAAGTGAGACTGTAGACAGGCAGCCTCACCCTCCAGAGGTAAGCTAAGCGCTGTCCTACATGTCTGCCTCCTTCCAGCTCTATCCTCGCCCTCACGGCTACTTCCACTTATCAGCTACAGCAGATCGCTTTCTGCACTAGTGTTCTCACTGGAACCTACCACAGTATAGTGTCCGACCGATTTCTAAAACAAAATAAATATTTGGTCCGGCATTTACAGAGTGCAGTCAGGCGGTGAAAACAGTTATGTACCGACTCACACAAACGATCCTACTTCTATTCTGACTAATTCAAAACAGATG